AATTTAATCCAGAGTCTCGTGAATTTTCTGAAAAAAGTTGCTGGCAGAACATATATTATGCATCTGCAGAATCAGAAGCTTCTTTGCCGATTATGATTTCCCTCGCTACCTTCGCTGTCAGTCACTTCATCGTCACTAGTTGTTTTCTTGTTTTTTTTTTCTTATTTCTAGGGTTTTGTTTTCTCTACTTTGACTTTCTTATCTTTAGTTTTCATTTCTTTTTCAATATTCTTCTATTTTTTAAACAAGGTCCCTTTTATAAATAGAAGCATCTACTTCTAGAACTACACATTAATCTATCGCAGTTGTCTTGGCCTAGTATATCCCTATGTATGTCATAGGGATATAATAGGCCTAGACTACTGCTAAGTCCTGTGCCAAAAAAATCTGAAAGATGTCTAATAGGGGTAGAAAAGCTGCTGTGGTTTCTGTCATAACTTCGTCACCCCATAAAAGGGATAATTAAATTGTTATAGCCCATATTTGAGTACCTGTTCCATATTTAGTGCCAATTATGCAATTTTGTTTAATGCTCAATTTTGATAGTATAGTTTAGTAATAAAAACATAAAACTGATATTTTGCTCTTTAAAATATATGTCTGAATATTATAACATTAATATTAAATTTGATTTTAAATGGTTTTAAATTTTTTGAGCTCAAAACAAAATGGTAGCCCATATTTAGTTACTCTCCTCTACAACATGTAACATATGACATAATTAACGCACTTTGAGAAAGTAATTTGTTCAGAATCGTTTACTGAATCTATTCTTATCATTTTTAATATAGGTAATTTTTTATCCCAAAAATAATTAAAACTACGTAAATTACAGTCACACTAAATCTGTACAGTCAAAACAAACTGAAATGGATCGTAACTTAAGGCAATAAGACTTTTAAGAGTGCAGTTTTATTTGTATTATTACTAATTTTGTCATTCAATAAAAATAAAGAAAAATGAACTCTATTTCAACAAAGTCTTTACGTTCGTGGATTTGTACTGTGACCACAACATTCTTCCGGAATTAGTATAACTAATTTGATAAATAATCAGTGCATAAAAATGTTTAACTAAAAATTCAGTGTATGTATTATGATTATAACATAATATACTAATTGGGGTGTCTGAGGGTGTGCATTAATTACGTTACATATTGTATAAATATAAATAATTATAAATATAGCAACATCAGAGTTTTATATAAGTTTATTTATCGATATATCAAAACTCCGATATTTTAAAAAATATCAACAGTCCTACTTTGAACTGATCAGTTGGAATGATTAGTTGAACTGACCGTGTGTGTCGTCCATATAACTTTCAGATATTTAGTAAAGACGGATTTGCAGCTAGATTTTGGTAAGGGGTAGAAATTTAGGATATTATTCAGTTTATTATACATGTGTGGTCCTAGAAAAGAGAAGTTGTGTGAGGTAGCAGAATGGTAGGATTGGGTGCGACATACAGTGCCTTTTCTGCGTTTGTCTTTTAGAAGCTCCGGATCGTATTTGCATTGAGTGTTTCATTAGAACAGTTTGTATGATGAAAGACTGTCTCACTGTTAGAACATCCCACTTTCTGTAAAGGGCCATTGTAGGAAAGCTGAACGGGAGACCAGCACTGACTTTTAAGATGGCCCTTTTAGCTCTTTCTACCTCGATTAGGTGTGTTTTAACAGCAACACCCCATGAATCAACAAGTGATTGGCATAGAGCGTAATAGACCATCTTGATGATTCGGCAGTTTGCTACGTGCGTAAAAGACTTGAAGATGAAAATTAGCTTTCGTAACCTAGTGACAATTTGAATATAATTGAAATAAAGAATGACAATTGAATTAAATAAAACACTAAAAGTAAAAAAAAAACAAATAAAGAAACAAGAACCTAAACAAATTAAGAAGATGCAGAAAGAGACAGCGTTAACACAATCCTGTAACAAATATGTAACAACTCATGAACAAGACAATGAGAAATAAAAAGGAATCACGTTCCCAAAAACTATAGACTCTCGTATATTTAAACTACCGCTTCCAAGTAGACACGGATCGTATTTGCAAAATAGAGTACGTCCACTTTCAGATACCAGCGTCAAAAACCAGGGCTCGAGATACTTTGAAATATTTTATTTCTGCATCGAAAATTGATTTTTAAGATTATATAAATAATGAGTGCAATCGCATATGCTAAAATTGTAAACTTTCAACCCTTGTTGGAAGAAAAATACTTGCATAGAAGATTAATCGGTAACTATACAAATAAAGAGCACAATTGCGTTTACAAAAATACTTTCAAACCTTTAAAAGTTTTAACTTTCAACAATCCTTGTTGGAAGAAAAATACTTGCATAGAAAATTGATTCGTAACCGTATATAGAGCACAAATAAAGAGCACAATCAACATACAAAAAAAATATTTCCAATCCTTTTAAGTAAATATACCTTGTTAGAACATTGATCCGTAATGAAATATAAATAAGGAGCAGAATCGCGTCGAGGGTCGACAGAGCGAGAATATTCAAATACTTTGAAGTCTTGCGAGTATTTTGGGTTGGCACTTGCCGGCATACTTGCAAGTAAATACCTGGTATAAAAACCTGGTCCCGTAAATGCGCATCTTCCCTACTTCCAAGTTCTAACAGAAAAAATACTTAATAAAATTCAGATTTTTGTAAACGAGTTAATTCGAGCAGCAAATACCACTAACCAGATTTAATAGAGAGAACTTTAATGTATCCTTTGAAGATTGTCTGTTAAATTGAAAAGCTCGCAACGATCCTCCAAAAAAAAAACGCGTGACAAGAGGAGCGGAAATACTAACTTATCAGGAAGTTATTGAGAGAATAGAAAAGAGACAAGAAGAAAAAAGAACAAAGAAACCAAAATTGACAAGCAAAATAAAAAGAGAAATAAAAAAATACGTGTGGCACTCGGTGACTGCCGCGATGAAGCTATTGCATAGCATTTTTTATCAACTTATGCAATTATAATTATTTATTTATTTTATTTATGCAGTTGTCTTTGATATTACATCAAGTTACACTTTTTGAGCGTGGTGACCGATAAGAAAACAATTTTTTCTCTTATTGAATAAATGAGAAGTTAATATTGTTTAAAATATTTTTAATATCATACAATACATGTAGGTTATTTAGGAATTTTTATCATTGAGTTACCAGCTAGTGTACACGCATACGTCTAGTCGCACGCACACAAACACCGTGCCGAAGTCTGCCGAACTGAAACGACGTTAGACGATGCACGGCTTTCAACGCCACACCTCCGTGGCCGTCGGAGTGGGGAGCGTGAGGTTTTTTTCGTTACGGAATTTCTGGATTCGGTCCCCGCGCTCAAGGCCCGCGATAGAAGCTATGCAATAGCTTAAAAAAGAAATACTAAAATAAAAAGAACCATTGTGAAACTGACAGCAACAGCAGTTGTTCCTCAGATGAAGGTTTAAAGTTATGCCATCATTTTCGGGAGAACCTCAGGTCCCAAAATTCCCAGAAGAAGGCACTTTTGTTTTAGCAAAATTTAGTTCTGCCCGGGGAAAAAGACTTACAAATATGTATGCTGTGTACAAGACACAGGGCTAGACACAAGTTACAGGGCTAAAATCATACAAACTGAAAAACATGTCTCGAATAATAAAAGATGACATCTCAATTATTGATTAGAAAGATATTGTTACTTATCTTCCACAAACAGAGTGCTTAGATGGAGAAATATTAAAGTTTCTTAATAATATTGATGTGTATGAAGTGTAATTTTTGTTGTGTATCTATTTTAGAATTAAGCAAAGTCATTTTGTTAGGATCTCATAAGAAAATGTGACTAATATGTGCGATTGATTTAGTATAAGTAAAGTGGAGTTAATTTTAATTATATTATTGCAGAATTGAAACATTATAATTGTGATAAAATGCCAAGTGAAGTTAAACCAAAGTATAGGTTCCTATTATTTTTGTATTTGTCTTTAGAATAAATTACTCTACTTGTTTTAGGATGTCTCAAGTATAGTTCAAAGTAAAAACAAACCTAATATGTTGCCTTATAGATTTTAAATAATTTTTGATAATTTTTTGTTCTCAGAAATTTTTGTATTATGTTTTGAGAAGTATCTGAAACTTTTATTTTTAAATGTAATGATTAGCAAATAAAAAATAAAAATCATGCATGGTTTAATATTACTTAGATTTATATCAGTATTAATTGCCTACACTTTTACAATTTATTGATATTTTTTACGTCAACACTATTTCTATAGAAAATAGTCACATTTGCCTCAAACATTACAAAACATAGTTTTAGTTTGACCGGGACTACTGGTTCAACTCAGAGAATATGACTGCATAAATTTCACACTGGGTGACACATGTGTGCTACAAAAACCAATGAGTTATTTTAGAATGTTGCATTTACCCCAACATGGGGCTAATGTTACTTTTCCTGTCGCCATGGATCTTTTAATAAGATTTAAACCAAATCCTTGGCTTTTTAACATTATATTAGGTCAAAAGTAATCTCAGATATATGCTTAATTATATAGATATAATAGATAACCCCATAAAGTCATGTAGTCATTTTTGGTGATGGTTCAAGTTTCAACATATTTCTTTTTAGTTGCAATAGCCTCCATGGACTGCATGTGCTACGAAAGGTAGTTTTGTATATTTGCAAGTAATTTCCATGATTATCTTAAGCTCACATACAAACATTTTCACCTTATTAGTGTAGTTTGGTCAAAGCAACTATCACATGTATTTTGAATAATAAACAGAAAAACACATTTATGTAATACTATTGCATTCACAGTTCATGCAAAACAGTCAATCGCAGGTCACAGGTTATAAATGTTCTGTCAATTGTTTGTTTCCAATTGTTCAAGAAAAATTGATTGCAATCAATACTTTTATGCCACCTTGGTCATACAACTGCATCATTCACGATTGACACATGTCTACTGTACCAATTAACTAGTCCACTTGTGGGACATATCATTAGAAAAATTCATAAAACATTGAAAATATATGGTATTGACTCTCTTTTTCACTAAAATAAATAATAATTCCTATTAACAGTACAGTAAGTGATGATACAGCTTTCATTCTTTTATACATAAGAATTGCAGCTACTATTAAAAATACATATAATCCTAGTTTCTTTAGAGCATTTGAAAAAATTTGCTGTTTTAATGTTTTATCTAAACACATACCACCCCACAACATATAGTTGGATTCACATGATGTACAATTTGCAAGCCCCTCCCCTTTGCAGGTTCTACAAGTATCATCACAATTTCTGCAGGCATATGAACCCTCCCAATTGATACAGAACTGATGAGATTTACATAAGCTGATATTGGCGCATTCATTAATATCATTACAAGCTCCTGATTCTAGCTCCCAACCAGGCTTGCAAAATTTACAAGCTGCTGCACCTTCTCCTCTACAGCCATTACATGCTTTATGACAAGGCTTACAATATTCTTTATCTATACTGTAAAAATTTTCTGCACAGCTTTCACAAAATTGTCCAGAAAATCCTCTATTACAAATGCAAGTACCATTGCCTTGTCGAGTTCCGTCCCCATTACATTCCCCACGTCCTCCACAAATTTTATTATTTTCATCTTTAGGGCAGGGAGCACAAGTCATACCATAATGATTCTTGGGACAACAGTAATGCAGAGTACTAACACATAACCAAGCAAATACATCTTGTGAATTAGGATCCTCATGGACCCACCATTGCTCTAACAAATGTTCGACTTCTTCAGCGAGAGCATAGCACTGATCCTGATGCTTTTTTACATCGGAACATAAACCCTCTTGTATTTCCACTAAGCGCATTTCACTTCGAGAATATGATTTAAGTTTTGCTTCTTCCCATGCTGCATCTCCGCCTTCGTATTTTCCTCGAGCTGTTTTTTGTAGCCAGTTTTTAAAAGAATTTGATAATACCTTACATCGATTACAATCATTTAATTTTTCAGTAACTATTGAAGGAACAAATATCAAACACATTACAATCAAATTATAATACATAATAATATTTATAACTTCTAAAAAGGTTAAACTAATCTAGCATAAACAATCATAACCTGTAAAACATCTGTATTCTGTAAAATCTGTAAATAGTGGTAAATAGGCTTGGGCAAAAAATATCGAAATATTGATACTTTCTCAAAACATATCGCCAATATATTTAATTCTTGATATATCGATATCTTATATTTATTTCGGATTATCGAATTCGTATCCATTCTGATATATTTTAAAATGTTGTATTAATCGACAAAACAATAGGCAACAAAAATAACTAAAAAGCCAAAGCCTGCTGCAGCAACACTGCTTTTAATTGCACATATATTTTTATATATATATCAATACAGTTTCAAAATATCGATACGATATTATTTTCACTTGCCAATCCCTACCCTATCTAAAAATATCGATACTTCCTTATATAGTTATCGATATTTATCGTCGATATTTTTAATCGGGATATATCGATATTCAAAATTTATTTTAGAGTTTATATTGTAGAATGATATAATTATTTTATAACATAATAGGTAAAACAGTAAGCAACAAAACGGCTAGAAAAGCATTCATGTGGTAGTTCATTCTTTTTTGTAGTCAAAACGTTCAGTAATAAATTTTTGGCCCTCGTCTTACAAAACACACTATATACATAAACATCTACTATCACTACATCATGCAAAACAAGACGATATATCGATATTTATCGCGCGATAATTATCATATACAGGTTACTTGGGTATAATTATCACATACAATTAAAATTTCTAGTTACAAGCATAGCCGTTACTTGACTAACTGAGTGCCCGAAGATGTGACGAACCCGCCCTAGTACTCGAGTACTGATCCTAATAAGTGTGAATAAATAAAGATTTTAAGTGGTATACTAAGCTGATTGTTCTATAGAATAAAAGTCTTTTCACTAGGCGCTACCTGGGAGTCACAAAAAGTTTTTTTAGGTAGCGCGGCGGCTTCTGCTAAACGAGTTCCCGGAAGTTAATCCGTGCAGCCGTGCACGTGCACCGTAACTCTAAAAACTAATCAGTTCTAACGAAAACGATAGTGCATCAGCAAAAATGAGGCGTTACATTGGTCCGTATAAATAATACATCAAAAGAAGGCAATAACTAAGCATATTTCAAAAAATTATGGAGTGTAGAGGTAAGGAGTACAGACTCTGTATAAAAGTGTCCGTAGGAAAGCATTAAAGAAAGGTGGCGCCAATGTAGCTACAGTCTAAATTTTTTTATTTTTTTTATTGCAGAACTTTTATATTTTTTTTATTGCACAGACTTTCACCATAATTCTTTTTACAATAATTATTTTATTGCTTTCAAAATTTTTATTTTCAAAATCACTCTCAACGTATTTTACATACCCCGGCGATTTAACATACCCCGTAGCTAATCGAGCGCTGTAGTGGAGAGTTTTTGAAATGTTATTTGCTGCTTAGAGATGGACACTTCTTCAACTATTCTATCCTATGGGAGTTGTTACACCTTATTTCTACACTACATATTAAAAAGGTTTGGACAAAGGCTATTTTTTACGGTGGCATAAACACAACAATTCTTTAATTTATTTTTTATTTCGTAAATTTACATAATATATGCGTATAATGTTTTTCTGTTGATGAAGATGCTTGGAAATTATTTTGTTTAAATAATCACACATATATAAAAAAAATATTAACATAACAAATGTTAGCAATTAATTGAAAAAAAAGGGTTTTATTGTTAAAAACTTTAGAAGTTCAATTTAAAAAAAGGACGTCTTAAAAAAAAGGTCGTTTAAGACAAGTTTAGGTTTATGGGTTCTAAATGGCTTAAGGTATCTTCCCCGTCAAGCATTGCACCCATCTTCCAAAAAAACTGTATTTATAATATATTTATCAGTTATGCCAATAAAATATTTTAATATTGCAATTAACAATTACATTGTCGTCGACGGGTATCGAGCCCGGTTTTCTAACGTACAGCAAGCTCTAACCACCTAATTTACAATGGCTCTATGCTAATTGCATCATTGTAATGATACATAAATCAACACGGGCCACCGGCGCAGTTGTGCAGACCTCCTTAACTCGCTTAAGGCCACGCGTTATATGCTTACCGCTCGCTCTGCGTATTGACCACAATACAACCGACATTGGTCTCTAGTATATATGCAGTAATCACACAGCTGCCCTCTGAATGATATACCACCACCGATTAGAAATAGTAAACAGTTGCCACTTTCAAAATTTTATTAAAAAAGTTTCTGATTTCCGTAAAAAAATTCAGCAAATAAGAATAAATGGTATGATTCAATCTCGATGCTAGCACCGTACATGCACATACGAACGCACTCACGCACTCAGACACGCATGCACATCCCTCCTCTATTTTATTTTTTCTGTATGCATACCACTGTTTGTTCATCTCTACACTATCAATGTTGCACTGACACGTGGAATTTTGACAGTTTTTTTTCGTTTGATTTTATATTTTTGTTTAGTTGTTTTTTTCTCTTGCTGTTACTTCTCATCTGCCTCACACTACTGGCTCCACTGAGAATCAGCGTTACGAATTGATGTATTTATATCTTCAATTCGTGACTTAAAGCTGAGTGGAGACCATTTTGGTGCATATTATGTTATCCCTTTTTTAAATATTTTTGATAAGATATAAAAAATGTTTTATTTTAATTCTTTTTGTTATAATGTATGTACCAAATAAACTTTTTCTTTCTTTCTTTCTTTTTTTCTAAATCTATGGACATTGGACCGCCGCACACGCGCCCGAGCTCTCGCACCGCGCACATATACCATGCTTACTTCTTGTCGAAATGCCGAAACCACGTAAGTATTGTGCAGTGGATGGGTGTCAAAGTCAAAAAACAAATGAAAAATTGTCTTTTATTTCATTGCCGAGAGACGAATAAATGTAAGTAGTATTTAAAATGTTATCTTTATAAATTGTCACCACTTACTTCTATAAACATAGGTAGCGAGGTACTATGTAAATAGTAAATTAAGGAGCTCAGGTATTATAAGTATTGTTTTTATAATAGCTACCATAGTTACCTTACCTAGTACCTACCTACGCAAAGGTTTTTTCGTGGACTTGTTAATTTCGATTCTAACTCCTATATCCGTATTAACCCGGGAACGGTGACCTATATGTCTGTGGGACCGGGTGACTTGAAAAATTCGAATAACTTTTTCCGCCGCCGCCGATTTTTGTCGCGATTTCGAGTAGCTGCCTCATTTCCCCTCCCACATAGTCAGTTCACCCGGCAACCTCGGAGCAGGCGTACGTTCCTGAGTTTTGGCGCCAGCCCGGTGCGGTACACCGGGGTCACCGAATATGTAAGTAAAACAGGCCGAATTGAATTATTGAATATTCGTTTTTTGTCTGATTTATGTACATTTTTACTTACCTTTGTTATTTTTTTATTGTATTATCTTATAATCAGTAAGTTTTTTGCATGATTTTATCAATTTTATCAAAATATCACAAAATTATCCTATCTTCTTTCAAATATAAACTTTGTTACAGTATGTCGTACGAAAGGGAACAGCATCGTCTAGAATCGCTTCTTCATGAACTGCTGGATGACGACAGACCATCAATGTCTTCAGACAGTGAAGCTGGAAGTGACATCGAACTGGAGAATCCTTCACCAAACGAAATACAGGATTCAAACAGCGAAGAGGAGCTAAGTGACAGAGAAGCTTCAGGTAACAACAGCGCCTTTTATTTAGGAAAGGATAAAAGTACGAAATGGAGCAAAGAACCTCACCGAAACGTCGTCAATTCATTGAGAATTCGGCTATGAAATTAATTCAACCCCATATAAGAGAACGACAGATGCACTTGCACCTGCCGCGCTCAATGAGACAAAGACTGTCTGAAATATTGAAGATAGATGGGGTACCTGGAACGGCTGGTCCATCACGAAATGGCCGTTGCTTTGTATGTGGATGGAAAAAAATAGAAAGACCAAATACACTTGCCACAAGTGCAAGGTAAACATTTGTGTCTTTAGCACGTAGTGCCTTATTGCAGTATTTGCTTGACTGAAGGACAGTGATTTTCAAAGAATTTTTTTTTTGTTATTTTTTGTTGGTAAGATGCCATTTTTTGTTTATTATAAGTAAGTTCCTAGAGTGTAAAAACCGATAAGACTGAGTTAATTTTAAAAATATGTTGATTATTGAATTTTCAAATTTTTAAAATAGATATGTGTAAAAACTAACTAATTTTATAGAGTCTGTGTGAAGTTGTCTAATCATAAGAAAAAGTAAATAAACGAGGCTGTGATTAATAAAATGTTGTGGTTTTTATGTCAAATAATTTATAATTAATAAATAAAATGGTCAGTAATTAAAATATTTTGAAAAATCTTCCATTGAAAACCCCGGTGCGTGGGACCGGGATCACCGAAGATGTAAGTCAAATCGACGTCACCGTTGGCGGGTTAATATTATAATTCGAAAATGTTTCCGTCTGCCACGCTTTAACAGCACTGCACTATATATACTGAAAAAATTTATAACAATCATAGCCGAAAAGTTGCTGGAAGTTGCCAAAAAAAATAATAATTTTATAATCGTTCGCTCGTATCCAAAAATTGACTTTTTAGTGTTTCGTAGTAAACAAGGAACACTTATAGTTTCACCATCTCCTTTTGTCTGTCTATCTGTCTGTTCGTTTGTTCGGGTTTGTGGGTAAGTGTTGAAGTTTTTCTCTCTGTCCCTTTCTGTCTTAGCAATTTGTCTAGGAATAAAGAGGGACAGATAGAACTTATTTTAATTTTGGATTAAGCTTGGCGGGCCAAATCGCCCACAATGACGAAGAATATATATATATTTTTATATATATATATATATATATATATATATATATATATATATATATATATATATAATAGAGTAATAAACACATTTTTCCAAATATTTGGAAACATGCCTTTCTTTAAAGAACGGTGGTACAGGATGATCAGAGGCAAAGTAAGGGAGCCCGCACAAAGTATGATGAAGATCGCCGAGATACCGTCTGGTCCAGCTGATTTGTGCGGGTCGATAGTCTTTAAAAGTCTGGATACCTCTATCCCTTACTTTGCCTCTGAGCATCCCGTACCGCCGTTCTTTAAAGGAATGCATGTATCCAAATATTTGGAAAAATGTGTTTATTACTCCAGTACATAAGAAAGGATCTAAGGATGAGGTACAAAATTATCGTCCCATTTCTAAGCTTATTATGCTAAAGTGTTTGAAAAAATAATTTACAATCAGGTGTACTCTTCTCTTCGTCACACATTTAGTGAAAATCAACATGGTTTCTTAAAAAACAGAGCCACGTGTCAAACCTTATTATTTGTTCCGACTATCTAACTAGCTGTATGTCCAAACCAGCACAAGTTGACGTAGTATACACAGACTACTGCAAAGCATTCGACAGAATTGATCATTTAATTCTTTTACGTAAACTCCTTACAATGGGTATCAGAGGTGATTTGTTCAGATGGTTTACGTCATATATCAGAAATCGAAGTCAATCTGTCGTCCTTGGTGGATATCGTTCCTCTACAATCCATATATCGTCTGGCGTACCGCAAGGATCCATATTAGGTCCTTTGCTCTTCTTAATTTTTATCAATGATATCGATACGTGTTTTAAAAGTTCCAAGATTATTCTTTACGCTGACGATATGAAAATTTTATACCCTCTTACAGATTTGGAAAGTTGTTCAAGCCTTCAAAAGGATCTCTATAATTTAGAAGCGTATTGTTTTAACAATAAACTTGATCTAAATGTTTCTAAATGTTTTATCTGCTCATTTACTCGTAAACCTAATCCTATAATATATAATTATAAATTACACCATACTGCTCTAAATAGAACCAGCACTATCAGAGATCTAGGTGTTACCTTTGATTCAAAATTGCTGTTTGACAATCACGTTGATGATATTGTTACAAAGGCTAACAAAGCGCTAGGTTTTATATTAAGATTATCGGCAGATTTTAAAAGTATAAAAACTTTCAAAATTCTTTATTGCGCTTTTGTACGCAGCCACTTGGAATATGTCTCTGAAATTTGGAATCCTAAATATAATGTGTATGTTGATAGGAGAGGAGGAGAGCGCATACAAAAAAGATTTTTGCGTTTTCTTCAATTTAAATCAAAAAAATTTATACCCAACTATACTCTTCGATGTAAAAAATTTCATATCTTACCTTTATATGAGCGAAGAAATATTGTAGATCTCTCTTTCCTCTCTAAAATTGTTAATGGTGTTGTTGATTGCTTGAACTACTGGGTAAAATAGGTTTACGTACCTCATCATCTAACTTGCGGAAACCTACACTTTTATTGGTACCATACGTGAAAAGTAATTATAGACAAAACTCTTTTATTATTCGATCATGCAAATCTTTTAATGCTACAGCACATATTCACAACGTGGATATTGACTTATTTCATTCCAGCGTTCCCCAACTTAGGCGATTACTTTCTAACAATTTCTTTTCTTCTCGATAGTGTACTGTTACTTGCCATTACTTGTACACATCTGTTTTTACACAATCTTGTTTATTATAAAGTAGTATATAAGTGAAAACTTGTAAATGGCCTTCATTTTTGTTATAATTATATTATTTTTGTAAATTAGCTGTAAGTTTTCCAAATAAATAATAAATAAATAAAAAAATAAACGTTAATACCTTAATATTTTCTTTTCAGGCGCCCCACATGATTTGAAATAATAGGACTTGATTAATAGTAGGCCTGATTTACTAACAACTCCAACAAAGCAGCTTGTCATTTTGTTTTCTCGCTACATTTTGACAAATCTATGATATGGTACATACTACAACTGAAACCTGTTACGGTACTCACGAAATTACTACAAAATCAACCAAGTACTTCCAACCACAATACAAATGAAGACTGTAAAAATATATCGACTCAAACGAAAGAATCATTTATTAATCGATTATTTTTTTTTTTGAAAATTGGACTTATGCGCATTACGAACAATATGGTATTGTAAAAACGTACACAGCGAATGAAAATATTCATTAAAAGAAAGAAGAGCACATCATTACTTTTGACCATCAGCACTTTATTAGTGCGCGGCGTCTTGTTGTCGGCATCATCAAAATTCGGATACTGACCTGTCAAGAAATTTTGCAGTGATTCGGAAGTACACGGTCAAGATATACGCGCCGGCGGCTTCTGTTGATATCGCATACAATTGTCGCCGCCGCGCCGCACGCATAACATTTGACACCGTTTGATTGCCGCCACAGAGTACATGCTCCAAAGAATAAAATAAGTTTCCTGGTGCTCAGAATGGATAGATAGATACATAATGCTGATCTCGCTAGGAATATTGTAATTAGATTATGGTAAGGATAGGTAGATATAATAATTTATTCTAGTAAGTAATTATTATAATATTAACTATATGGGTTTATAATAATTAATTACTATTATTATTTTTATTACCTAATAAATAAACATGCTCAATAAGTTCACTGCAAATCTCGATTTTTGGAAGTGTGTGTTTTAAAACATAAAGTGCTCGTATATGTTATCACTCATTTGATAACTATTGTAGACACTTTTAACACACTCGAAATGTGTAAAAATTTTCTACAACGCTAATCGAATAATATGATAAGCGTGCAATAAGATCTATCTACTGCTTAGGAGCCTGAGTATCTCTGAGAGAATTGTTTAAAGAAATTCATATCTTGACTGTTGCATCACAATATATATTTGCAAATATCATGTATGTACGACAAAATATTCACTTCCATGTAAAGAATAGTGATGCAAAATTTTAATAGTAGAAATAAAAATAAAATCACATTACCTGCTTTCCAGTTACACAAAGTATACAGTTCGTTCTCTGGTAGTGGTATACGCTTTTATAACAAGATTCCAGAGTAATGTTAGATTTTTCACCTTTTCAATTTAAGTAGCACATTAAAGCTTGTTTAGCAAAAAAAAACATATTATTCTGTAAATGATTATCTTATTAAAAAATGCTTGGAACTGACCTCTCGCACTACACAGAACTAACTAGAAATTTCTATACCGATTTGGTATCTACATATACATTTGACATTTAATGTTTGAATTATCGCTTTACATATTTATAGTACTATTGTAAAAATATTTTGAAAAGAGCAACTACTGAGTAATGCCTACTTGAATTAAATATAATTGAATTTCGAATGAGTGAAGTCATATTCGTGCATTTTGTGTTTTAAAATCACACACTTCCAAAAATTGATTGGCAGTGTCGGTTTATTAACTTGTATCGTACTCTAGTAGTTAGTAGTACCTATATAATACAGCAAGCAACGTACCTAGGCCAATTTAATTTAATTAACGTAGATTAATTCCATCATAAGCAGAACATAATATATACAATTCACATCACAAGAAACAGACTGACTCCCGTAGCCGTGGGACACGGTAGATATCTCTGTTGGTTAGAGCATCGGCACGGATTGCTTAGGTCGTGTGTTCAAGCCCCACCCGGTGTCAGTAGATTTTTCGAATTTCTCAATAAACCTTTAGAAATTTACTAATTTAGTTGATCTTTGCTACTACTTTTACCTACTCTGTTAAGTTGTTCTTAGATCTAAAGAAACGTTTACGAGACTCTTGCCGCAAGATCAAGACTAAGACCAAGGTTCCCAGGTCGTATCGGTCCGGAAAAATCGCCGGTGGTAAACTATTCCACAGAGAGATTGTACGCGGAAGAAAACTCATTGTGAAACGTACAGTGGTGGATCGCCAAACATCCAGATGGTGTGG